GATCAGTGTCACTTTCTAAGTGTTTTAAGTCAGAAACCATCTTAATTTTGGAAGTACCATTGTACTGTATTCCTTGTACATGTGCTGCTTTCCACCCTCTCTACCCACCCCAAACAATATCTATCTTGGGTTATAGAAAAGATGTTGTCTTTCCTCATAAATTGATGTCCTCATACATTTTGTGTATGTTGTGGTCCGGTTATGATAATATTTCTGCACTGACAAGTTGCAGCTCTGTTCACAGGAATTGAGACTTGAAAGATTTTCTTCTTCATTGTTTTATGTGCCAAGTGTATTTACAGATGCAACACAGAGTGACAGTTTTCTAGAAAGATAGTTTAATTACATCTAAAGGCTTGTAATCAGAAGTTTGGGCGGGAGAGACTATGAAAATGCAGTGTAAATGGTGCATACAAAGATTAATTGCCTTATCCTAGATGATACAAATTATTTACATTATGATTTTATATGAAAGACAAATTCTAGGAAGGGAGGCAACTTTAAAAAAAAAAAATACAAAACAACCCACAGCATAGGTGTATTTCATCTGTATATCGTAACTAAACATGTGTTTGAATTCATGAAAGCATTGTACTGATTTCAGCTTTTACCTAGATAGACAAATGCAAGAAAAAGTTAAAGATTAATGCTTTCAGAGAAGATCTTTTGTAAAAAAAGAAAAAAACTTTTAAGTTTTAGAGTTAATATAATTGTGCTACAAGTTAATACACCTGAAGAGGGAAAAGTATTTCCTGTATAGGTCTTGTCTGCTGAGTATCCAGCTTGTTTTACTTTTTTGAGTTTAACTTGCAGTATAGTACTCTGCTGTCACAGTTCCTGAAACTCTGCATACAAATCTGTATGTAGATTTCTCTCATCATTTTAGCAAATGCAAATGAAAAAATGTAGCTTGCCTATCAGTTTCTGTTATAGAATATTTTTAATTGTAAGTGCTGCTGAGAAATTTTTTTTTTTTTAGCCATTCGTGCCTCTTTTACTTTAAAAATAAAATAAAAAGTTTCCATCTTACTTTAAAGCTTATAAAAATTCAGGGAAACGTGCATGCTAATTTTCAAGAAATTCTAATAAACAGCTTATATAAATGGAATTACATAGTTTCTTAAATAATGTGTTGTTTTTGTTTTTGTGTGTTTTTTGTTTTTTGTTTTTTTTTTTTTTTTTTTTTTTCCTAATTAAACATACAGTTTCATATAGCCTAACTTAGGCAGCATGGTAGCTTTTTTTCTGGTGTTTAAATAAATGAAGCGTGGTATTACCATGTCTTTGGAAACCTGACCTAAAATTTGATGCTTTTTGATGTAACTGAGAAAATAATGCAATTTTAACATAGTTTAGGGGGCATTTAAACTAAATGTGGATTGAAAGGAAAAGCATAACTGTATGTATTTACTTTAAGATCTTTATGTTCTAACCAATTATAGTAAGAAAAAAAAAAAGGGATTTTTTATTTTTTCAGATACAGCTTTGGATATCTGTCAAAAACATAAAGCTCTTAAAAAATCTGCTGGGTTTGTGGGATTTGTGTAATGTTCTGCCAAAATTCTATACATCTTGTTTAAAACACAAATGATTCCCCTAAACATGAATACTTCCTGGATCTGAATGCCTCTTAGTCTATCTCAAATACCTTAAATTATTTTTTCTACAGTAATGAAAGTAATTATTTGAAGTTCAGGGCTAGAAAAATGCGGGTAAAAGGAAATATTGCTTAAGTTACAGGAAGTCATGTTTTGAGGTGCAGGTCCTGCTCTAAGGCAGAGGAATGAGTGGCTGAATTGCAGGTGATGTTTTTACTTCAATACATTAATAATATAAAAGTAGAGAGAGTAGATAAGGGAGGAAAAAATATCATGCTCTTAAAGAGCACATATAGAAGAATATGTAATTTGTATTTAAAAACATAAACTTGTCAAATATCTTGAAATTTGAGTCAGTAGCTAGAATGAGACAGGAGAAAACACTTTCGAATTAATTTTCAAAATGCTGTTTGTTTTAAAGATTCTGCATAGGACAGGAAAATATCAGAGGTTTATGAGAGATGTGTTGACCTGTGGATAAATACTGATTTGAACCAGTCTGAGATTTTGTAGCTGCCCTTTTGTCTTGGAGCAAGCAATGTGAAGTATTCATTAATCATGTTCTATTTGAATGTGCTTTTTAAGGAATCTAGTATCTTATGAAAGCCTATATAGTGTTGTATGTATTCAGTAAGAGCTTCTGTGTTAACATTTTAGCAACATTTAACAGAGAAAAAGTGTAAACAACCCCCCCCACTAGAACACCAGCTCTAATCTCAGTATTATAGAGTTCTTATTTTAAAACAAGTATCCAAAACAGTATAAAAAGATGAATAGTTTTAATGATGTGAAAATATTTCAAATGTATAGATCTTCTGGTGCAAAAGAATAGTTTTCCACTCCCCAAAAGTGTGGATGATTTCCTTTATTTTTAAAATTTCCACACCACAGGTTACACAAAGCTTGTACAGTCACAATTTTTCCTTTGGAGAGATGTACCTCATAGGAGCTTGTAAATGATTTCACCTTTTACTGTATTTTGCTTTCGTTCCTTTCTTCTTCCTAATACCAGTCTCTAAGGTTTAGGGCTAAATTGTAGAAATTGTTCCTAATGTACTTTCTTCTCTTCCCTCCCCAACATATAATTTAAGGAATTATGTTGCTGTCACTCATTTGACTGTTGTTATTGCTCATGGGACACTAATGGAAAGAAAAGATAAAGCTAGTGGAATTGCAGTTACTGCATACTGAGACTATTTTGTAGGCAAAAGTGTAATCAAAACTATTCTGTAGAGGAGTAGGAGGAAAGAGATAGAGTAGAGGAGGAAAGGGGGTTTTTGGGTTTTGGGTTTTTTTGTGTTTTTTTTTTTTTTTGGTATGTTTTGTTTTGGGGTGTTTTGTTGTTTTTGGTTTGTTTGTTTGTTTGTTTTTTTAAAATTTCTTTATTTTTGGTTGGATTTGGTTATTTTATTGTAAGAGCTAAGACATTTTAACAGAACCAGGAGGAAGGAAAAGCTGGATTTCGTACCTTAACTTTTAGTTGCATACGGAATTGCCTTTTCATGTGAATGCCTAGTTTGTTACTGTTAACTTCTATCTGCTTTCAATCAAGAGATCATCTTCTGTTCTGTTCAGCATATGTCAATCAAATCCTTTGAGTCATACCAGAGTACCAGTGGAGCATATTTATGTATCTGGATGTTCAGGCAATTCACATATTCAAATAACAGATACAGAATACTACAACTGCCCTGCAAACTGGAACCCCAAAAGCCATACAAAGCTAAGAAATTGTATCCATTACTTCTCATGTTTCACCATCAATAAGACTTTTAGCCTTCATCCTACTACATAAACTTCCCACTCTCTCCTCTGGCTGTATAGTCATTACAAGATGAAGAGATTTGAGTTCCCCATTTTCCATTTTGCTTTTCCCTGACACATCCCCAGTTTAATCTTCCCATTGCTTAGCTATTACAAAAATGGGCAAAACCACTATGAAGATAAATATGCTTTCTTCTGAAAGAATATATATTTCAACATATAAATTATCTCGAAGATCTCATATTAATGGTTATACTATAAAATAATTCAGCATTAAAAGCACCTCAGTTCATTCTTCCCAAGTCCACAATTTCCTAATGATTAAACAAGGAAACAAGGAGGAAAAAGAATGAACTTCAGTTTGGTGTAAATATATTTGTTAGATTTTTTCCAAATAGCCAGTGAACAAAAGAATTTGTTAATTGCCCAGCTCTTCCACTGTGGCCAGACCCCCCTCTATTGTCTTGGTATTTATTACTGCTTTCTTCACATAGAAGAAACTATGTGGGAGGAACTTGAAACTCATTCTTGTCTGGGGGTTTTATAGAAGACAAGGCAGGAAAGAATTTTGAGTTGGGTGTGTGGATTTTGACTGTTTTTATAGTGAGGTTATTTTAAATACACCCATCTGGTTCAATTTGGTTTTGCTTTAAATGTCAATTCTCCATCTTTGAGGTGATTTATGTTAACTCAACAGATGTTTTCTTCAGCATCTGATATACACAATTAAATAGGACATACGAAAAATACCTTGCATCTGGACTTGGTGAAAACATGGTAGATACTCCTTTGGCTGCAGGAGCAAAATGCTGTTTATAAGCATAGCAAAGCTAAGCCTCTTAAAAAATAAAAAGGAAGGGGAAAATGCATCTTCATACTGTCCAGTACATAGGAGATGGTTGGTGAGAGGGATGCTCATTGAAAGGGTTCAGGAATAAGACAGTCTGATAATACATAGTGTATCCTCTATTTTAAAAGTGTCTTTCTGTGTGATGATCTTATGTACTTCAAGATCAGATATCCTTATGTTCAATAGCTGTATTTGAAGGACAGACTTTTGGGAAAAAACTTTAGATCCCATTTAAGCATAACTTAATCTGGTTAGGCAGAAAAGAGGTGGTGGCCTTTATCTAAGTGAATAAAATATAGAAGTTTATATTTTGTCTACAATGTATAGAACACAAAAGTAATTTTGGATATTTTTCAAAAAATATAAAAGAAGTTGTCCAAAAGTCCAATGTTATCACCTGCCCTTCTGATTACCTTTGTGTCTTGACAAGAGTTGTGTTTCTCTGGACGTCCTTTCTCTTGCATCAGAGTTTTGCAACTGAAAGCAATTCCTTCAAAAGTGTCTGACCCTGATTATGTCTGACAGTTGGGAACACATTAAAAATATTTTGAAAATTGGCTTTTTGTTTTGGTGTCTTAATTGGAGGGATGTCTGTAAGTGTTGATTTTCTCATCAGTGAATTGCAGTACAACGTGCATATCATTTTGATTTAATATTTTAATGTTTATAAAGTACTTCGGGATCTTGTTAGTGGCTTTTGTGTAATAACTTTAATATTGAATATGTGTTAAATAATTACTCTTTAAGGATACAAATCAAATAAATTTGGCATACTATTTCTTTTCTAGTGAACAAACACAAACCCTGGATTGAGACATCGTACCATGGAATCATAACCGAAAACAATGACACTGTAATTTTGGATCCTCCCCTTGTTGCTTTGGATAAAGATGCACCTGTTCCCTTTGCAGGTAGGAGTGTACACTAACTTCAGCATTTAATTGTATGGATTACATTATGAAGTCACTAGAATTTGTAAGGAATGAATTTGTGATGCACAGATAATGTAATCTGAAGGACATGTTTAGAGGCTGTATCTGAGTACACAGGTCTTGACCATTGGCCCATAGACCTTGAAACGAGGTGTCTTATACAATGAATGTGTCTGCTCATTTGTTGAGAGGCAGAAATGATTATAAACAGCATAATACAGCAGGCTTCCACTGTCAATATATTTTTAAATGAAAGCAGAATAATTATATAATTAAATTTGAATTTGCTTTTATAGAAATGAATCATTACAATTGCCTGAAGTAATAATATATAGTTGATTCTGTTTAGTAATAACAGCCCCTGCTTTCTCTCTTCCTATTCCATTCTCTGGCTATGGATAGACTCAGTGACAGATATTTAAAGTTGCTCGAATCTTATGTTACTGTGTTAGTACTTTATAATTGTCAAGACTTGGATAGAAAATTTAATGGAGGTTTTGAAGATTTTTGCTCCGATTGATGTGTGGTAGATGTATGTCATATAGAAGTTTTTACTTGTATCGAGTCCGTTTTTCCTGACACTTATTCTGTCATATTATGAGTTCCTTATCCAGAAAATAGTACTTTTGCATGACAAGCAAATTTTCTCTTAAATTCCCTGTTTCATTAAAAATATTTTTTGAAGAAAAGAGAGAATATAAAGGCTTGATAGCTATACTGAAGATCCTAAATAGATGCAGTTGTTAAAAAGATTATATTGGTTAAGAATGTTCATCTTTTATAAGGAGAGGAGCTAGTGAAGATGAGTATCCTTGTTCTTGTGGAATACAGTCATGTCCAGTAAGCAGTAAGTCAAAGTACTAGCCCCATACAGCATTTTACAGCATCATGTAAGAATTGTTATTAGCCATTTTCCCCCAAAGTATATACCAGCATAAACTCATAACCCGCAAAACAGGGATTCAGAAACGGTTTTTATGTATTGAACCCCATTATAATATCCAGATTGGTTTTGTCACTCATAGTGCCCTACAGTTCTTGGTATACACAGAACATTTTTCTTCCACAGTTCTATATGCACAGTGAGTGAATGTTCAGTGGAGAAGACTCAGCTAAATTTAGTTGGAGGTAAAAGACTCTAATAGCATATGTGTATGGATACAGCAACCTCACCATGAAATACGTCTGTCTGCTGATCAGTTCCTATGGCACTGATTTACTTGCTAATGGAGGCATAATCAATGTCCATTCAAATATAAGTAGACAGCCTCTAAGTGGGAGATACTAATTATAATCAGAGCAGGTGTACTTCATACAAAGATGGTCAGGAGAAGCTGTCTTTAACTCAGTTACTAGTTGTTGAAGCAAAGGAAAAAGTACTTGTTTCCAAATTTCTTGATTAGTGTATTAAAAAAGTAGGAACTATATATTAAAAGAAATGAAAAGTGTGGATTAAGACTTTGAATGATAAACAGCTCTCTGTAATGTATTTGAGTACACTTTTTTCTTATAATGGTAAATTTTACGTATATATGCAACTAATTCTTCCAGATGTTTGTAGAAAACAGTAGTGTAAACTTAGATGAGATCCTTGCTAAACTAAACCTATCTGTGAAATTTTCAGGTATGGTTATTTAGGAATGAAGATTATTCTAGTGAAAAGATGCTCTTTTCATTTTGGGTGGATTTTTCTATTACTATGACTGTTCCATCTCATATTTGCTTCTTTTACTTGCATTCCCTTGGGATCCTTACAGGAATGTTAATCACGTGTTGTTTCCACTGATACTTTTATAAAATCTTTGCTGATTGGGGATTTGCTAACCTGATCATTTTCTTTGGTTTTTACACTGGGACAATTGATATGTTTTCCATGAATCAGTGATTTACTCTTTCTGTAGAAAATCATCCTTTGAAATACTGAATTTACACAGACAGGCTGACTTTTGTGATAAAGGTTACATTCAACAGTAGTTTTAATTTTGTTTCTTCATTTAGTGATTTGAATTATTTACAGTTTAAGAAGTCTTATGGGGTCTAGAAGGGAAAACACTTGGTATGTATTCCCTGATATTAATGGTTCATTTCCAGATAACATTGTATGTTTGGCCTCATAATCTGCAATCTAGATGTAACATTATAATACCGATTGAGCTCCTAATTACCTTGGAAGGGCCTGGATTCCCTACTTGCTGCAAAAAAACCTCTATGTGATTTTTTTAAAAGACTCTTGCTCTTGCCTTTTAAAATTGGAATAACTTCTTATTTTTGTTTTAAATTTCTACTTTAATATAATGTAATTGTATTTGGCTTCATAATATAAATAATATTATTATAGATCTTTTTGGAAAGTACAATTTGTGTAATGTATTTAGTGGAGAAAACTGAAAACATATGCAGCTAAAACATTAATAATATTCGGTAGCTGTACATTTAATAGTATTGTAATGTGGAATTTCTTCTATGGCCACATTTTCCTCAAGTGTGGAAAACTTATAGTATAAAATAATGTATCAGTCTTCAATTGTACCAGAGAATCAGACCTCCAACAGTTCCTTTCCCATCATCATATTAATATTTTCAGTATTTTGTCCAACTATTGTAAAAAAAGAATTAAGCTTATAGTCTTTTGAAAGATTTTTATTTTCTTTCATGTTTAAATGGGCCCAGATTAAAGAATATATCTAAGCAGTTTCTGACTGGTGCTTAGATATCTACTAAGATTGCCTTGAACAAGATAAAGACTAAGGGTACATACTTTCTTCCTCTAGAACTACAGCTGCTGCAATAGTTTAGCAGCAGATTGTTGGCTGTTCCATCAACATTTGTGCTACCTTATAGAAATAGACTTTTTTTTTTTTTTTTTTTAATATCAGTGTGTATTTGACTTTAAAAAAAGCAATAAAACCAAACAACAGAAGAACCCTTCCAAGAAACCAAACCAAAAACTAAACCCCAAACCAGACAAAAAAAGACCCAACCCAACTGCTGTGTATCCTTTCAGTTTTCATATGGGCATAAGTCTCACGGAAACAAAATAGAACTAACAGCAGAAAGAAAATTTTCAAGTTAACCACCAGGTTGATGTTCCTAGAAAATGCCTCTATAACTAAATAGCTAGATGTTATGTGAACAGTATAATCTTTCTACTTAATTTCTTCCTCTTTATGTGCTCGTCTTCCATCAGTGACAGACTGAGGAAATTTTACAGGGTTTATCACTGAAACGGATGACAGGGCATGGTAGGTGACATGCAAATTTATTTCATACATGTATTTCTGTATCTTGCTAGTGAAGGTGTAGTCCTTTTGAAACTGTGCTTAACTTGTGGAAATAAGGTTAGGTAGTGCTTATGTTTATGGCCAAGGCAAGGAGAGCTTCAGAAAGAGCTGTAGTAGTGTCAGGCCAGAAAGTACGTCGTGTCAAAATGAGTATGCTGGGGCCATGCGTTGGAGACTATAAACCTCACTGAATTGTTGTCTCCAAATTGTCTACACTATTTTTCATAAAACAAGGTTAATGTTGAGGTCTGCGGTATCTATAGATAGACTTGCACTGTGGTCACTAGGATTATAATGGTGACAAGATGTGCACTACTAGTAGGAGATACCAGCAGATAATGAGAATGTGCTGTTCTATCTATTCAGAAAAGCATGGGTCTGCTGTATGGCCCTTGTTTAAAGGAACCAGGAAGGGCTGTTTGCACCACTCCCGGTAAAAGCTCTAAGTGCAACAAGAGGAGCTTGGAAGTGGTGCAGGTTTTTCAGCTCCGAGCTGTGTATTACCAGGGATGCTTTGAGTGGCATACAGATGACCTTGCTCCTGTCAGTTGCCCTGGTGCACAGGTAGTTCATGCATTTCATATTTTTCACCTGAGCAAATAATCTGTCACCTAATAACTACTTTGTTACTAAGCACAAAACCAGAGCTAAGCTATTAAAGACACATTTGGTATTCATCAGTGATTCTTATGTGCCCTCAGTGCTTTGGGTTTTTTTCTTATACCCCTTCTCATGTTCTCATTTTTTTAGTTTAAATGTTAGTTGTGGCATAGACCTACTCTAAACTATAAACAGTATTTGTTTTCTCTTCTGGAAACTTTAGTATTAACTTTGACATTGTTCCTAATACCTGTGCCTTTTTTCCTCTGCATGGCTGCTAAGGTATGTATTTTATTAACTGTCTTGTCAACCTCTTCTAGTATTACACACATTATGGTGCACATCAAAGCCATATTCATGGAGTGGTCACAAGAGAAAATGACTATAATCTGCACTTTTTTTCTCACCTCTGTCTAATGTTTAAAATCAAGGGCGATGACAGGAGAAAAAGGAATCTTCTGTGCAGTTACCCTCTCAAAAAGTCTGTGTTTCCAGAGAGGACTAATGAGAGACTAACAAGACTAAAGGTGCTTGTGAAAATACTGGCTGTCAAATGTGATCGGCCTATTTCATAACCGGAGCATAAAGACTTTCACAAGATTGCAATGAATGGTCTTTGGTGTCTCTATCTCATGTATTTATTGTGAAATGTGCAATAATTGGAGTATATGTAAAATCATGGTTCTTAAAGTTATCACAGTATGAGCATATTCACTTTCTCCTTTTCACGCAGGCATATTTTTCAGACCTCTTGTTTCAAAGGAAAGCTTGAAAATACCATCACAAATGGTTAAGTGTGAGAAGTAGTATTTTTCCAAACTTCAGCTTTTCTATTCCTGATCTGAAAGGGATTTTCACACACTGGTGTTGAGATACAACTGACCTTTAAAATAATTAAATTCACCATTGCAGCTTGGAGCCTTTTTCAGGATATCACAGACAAACAGGCAAACAAAAAAACATCAACCAAACCCCCCCAAAATATGAAGAAACTCTAAGTCCTGTAGAAATAGGTTATGCCTTCCATCCTTCTCTTCAAACAGTATTGTGTAGGTGCAGTATGGGCTGCTATTATCTAATTTGGGGAAATCCATTGGA